TTAATTAAAAAATTTTGGTTAGTTGGTTCTTTACATTTAAATGCATTAAAAAAATAAAAAAGAGCAAAGAAAGCAAAAAATATCAACGAAATATATATCACACAAATATCACTGTGATACCTTTTTCTAACCCAATGATATTATCAAAAGCATAAGTGCGAAAATAATAACACTAGAAGATTATAATTATAATTTAGAAAAAATGTCTGCTGATGTCATTGCCAGGACAGAAAACATATATTTACGGCAAAATTATCTAAAAATCCCCTTTTTAATTCGCCCTTTAGCAGCCGTTCTAGGAACTGGAAAATAACTTCAGAGATAAACAGTTGCAAACCCGGCAAGGGTTATGAAGCCAAACGAAAATAAATTGTTTATTTGTAGTAAAACGTTTTTAATGTTTTCTTCATTACATAATTTGGGGATTAAAGTTATCTGCGGGTGTCCAAGCAAAACAGTTTGCACTCAGAAACCTACGTCAAATTCGCCGGGATTAATATATGCAAGTTTAGATGGCAAGCGAATTGCATTGTTTCATCTGAACCGGAATATTTCCCTCCTTTGGTTTACCGTACCGTTAATTGTATACATAATATTCGGCGGCATACCAAAATATAAACACAAAATGCATTAGAGAGATGCTAAGGCGGTGCTAAACTCGAACGCTCGGGTAAACCGCCACAGCCTAACGATGTTTTAATATCGAAAGGAAAAATACGTGACTAAAAATCACAGGTTCAGGGGTAATTCTTTTTCGCATTTAAAAGTTTATTCTATATAAAAATTTCCTTAGACAAACGCCATGAAAACTATTCGCCAAGTTTTTATTAACTTCCGAGCGACATTACGTCCCTAAACAACTTTCGGACGAAAACTGTTGTTCCAATCCAAGGATATTTTGAAAGGCTACATCTTCATCGAAGCCTTAAAGCGTCAGCTTACAATAATGTTGTTATTTTAGGTGAACACGAAAACGACATCGAAAATTTTAATGCCCTAAGTAACCGTCTCTGTCGTGTTGTTTCATTTATATATTGGGAGCCATAGACATTACAATGTCCAGTATCAGGCTTAGCTATATTTATAATATTTCGTGGATTGGTTGCTTGCGTGAATTGTGGTAAAACGATAGCATTTTTGTCTAGTCACTGTCCTTTTTTTAATGTTACAAAAATATAAACAGGCTTATGGGATATCTTTAAAAGGTAGCTATGGATAAGTGTCATCTAAAATTGAAACTGGATGATGCACACAGTCAGCAATCTCTTCATTTTGTGCTGAAATACCTAAACTCCATACACCCAACAACGTCAATTTCACTATAACAGAAAATAACAACAGTCTTCCCTTTCCATACATTCTAATTAATCGAAAACCAGACTTGTCTATAGAAAACTGACTCATACCTAAATCCCCGATAATGTCATCCTCCAGCAATATCATCAGAGCAATATCACTGTCTTAACCCGAATCTCTTAACCAAAAACATATGTCATCTCAGTTCCTCTCTCAAACAATTACCATTGTTTAGATCGATCAAAAAATACACTTTACCAGTTGATCCACTATTAGCCACTGCAGTACTTCTGTATGTACAAAATGTCACCTATTAAATGTCAAAAATTCTGAAAAAATACCAAAACACCAAAACAAAATTCCATATTTGTCTTAAAATCTTCCAACATGTACGATTACAGATAAAATTTCTCTCAAGACAGCAGGTGTTTGCAATATACTGCGCAGCTGTTGCAGTTTTAAGAAGAAGGTCGAAAACTATTCAGACTAAAAAAAACTCAGAATATAATAAGATTATCAATAAGACCAAAATACTAGTATCTATCATTTTGTAATATCCAAAAAAAAATTTCGCAAGTCACCCAAGACTCTGACATTGTGATTTGACCCAGAAACTACGGTTTTAATCTGATATTTGGTTGATACAATTTTCATGACATCTAATCGAAACCCAAAAAAGGTACTATTTGACCCAGAAAAAGAGGTTTTAAGTCGATATCTGCAGGTTTGATATGGATTTCGTGAAGCAATAAAACGCCACTTACTATTCGCCCTACACTCTGCTGATATTTAATGTTCATGCGGAGCAATCGACCATCAGTGTTAAACAGCGCTCTGGAGAAGTCAGCAGCGTGTTCGGCGATACGTCAGTCCTGATCTGACATAGATGAAATCCACAGGAGGAAGTGTGCCTACAGGTTAAGAATTTGCTTAAGTTGTATTGCCTTGTGGTATTGAAAATTTCGTTTATATAAGTGAATTTTGCTCGAAGTACAGCAGTAGGGCTACCAGAGGCTGCGATATTCTTTTTGGCCTCTGTGAACATGAATGACAGGGTTGTTGTAATAGTGATGAGATGTTGGGCACAGTGGTCTGGGCCACTGGGCCACTGACGCTGTACCTCCGCGTCGATGATCCATTAAAATTGTTGCTATTACCATTCACTACTAAATATAAACAACCACGTCTGGTATGGTGTCAAGAACGGGCTCACTGGCAACAGTCCATTGAAAACATGGAGAAGACATGGCACTAACTTCAATTTTGCATAGAACGCAAGACTGAGCTTACTAGATGGGTTACATTTCGGGCTTGTTTTACATATTACAATCTGTCGGGTTGACCCACCTTCAGCAACTAGAATAGAAACTTCCGCCGAGAAGCGTTTACCTCTCCTCCGTGTCCCTTGAGGTCACTAGACTTAACGCCTATCTTGTCCTTTCAAAATTATCCTGGAAGAACCACCACGAGAAATCGATAATCTGATTCCACCAAATTTAATTGGAGGCTGATGTTTTAAGAACTACTTTCAATAGAGTTTTTTGATGTAATCGATTTTCAATCGTATTTTTATCCCAAACTATTTCCCAAAATATAAATATTTAAACAATATTTTTTAAAAAATATATGCAAATCGCCTGTATTTTTTTCTTCACCAACATGCTGCTGGTAGGGAACGCGTGTAAGAGCATTATACATTTCGCGACAACTGCGGAAAACCTGTTGAGTTTTTTGTTTCCAAATAAGGCCGTATGACAGAGTGTTCTAATACCTCGCGAACCTATATTTACATTTGTTAAAAGGGTTTCAGTAGTTTTAAGCCGCTTTCAAGAAACAAAGGAACGGTATTGCTGGCATTATGCATGCCTTTTATCTTCGTTCGTTTCCCGAAAACGTCTACGCACAGATAATTCGAAAAAGAAATACGGGAACACTAGTTTCTTTTTTTTTTCAAGGGGCTGATGCGAACATGTTCGCGTATTAGGCATCGAAACAAGGGCGGTAAATCCCATTTCAGCATTAAATTTCAGTTAGCTAAGTGACGTCTAATCCCACTTCAGATCCTGCTATGTTCGAAATTTTTTTTTGTCTCGGCATTTTCATTGAATAATTCATTAAAAAAAACACATGTTCATATTAATTTAATCAATACTTTGAAGCCTGCTAACCAATAATGTCCTGCTTAGTAAGTGTCCAGACGTCAATATCAACTGAAACATTTAAAATGGGAGGGCTATTCGAGGTATGTAACGATTACGTTCGAAAATTTTCAATATTAATTTAGAAGGGAATTTCGCTGTGGTAATTCAGTGTACATAGTCGTGATAATTTAGGGAAGATGAGTAGTAATTACTGGTAATTAGTGAGAGTGCGGTAGTCAGCGTTCACTAGTGCCACTAACTTAGGGAAATTTTGGAGGTAATTAGGGGAAATTTTGTTGTAATAAGTCGTTCAAAATACTTCTGATTCTGAGGATACTTCAAAGAATATCCTAAACTGAGGTCTTTAGAAATAGAAAAATATGCTATACTCTAAGATGGGAGATGAAAGATTGGAAAGGTCTATAAGAAAATTATCGATGAAAGTCAGCAGTCTGATATGTCTATTTGGCCAAAAAAGTGACGTGCTTAAATAAATAAGTAATATTTTCTATGCACCGCTTAAAAAGGGCGAAGTTATTAAAAATAATCAAAATCTTTAAAGTTCTAAAAGAATCCTTGGAAGAATCTAAAAGCAATTACCTACTTTGTGACTGACTTATTTCAAAATAAATAAACATATTTTTAAAAAAATAATTATAAATATTCTACTTTTAGCGGACCTTTGGTGCCACTTATATGCCTGTAAGATTTGTTTTATTTTTTTATAATATATTATTAAAACTGAAAAATGATACTGCAATACAATAGATGTATCAAATATGAATTTTTAAAATCGCATGCTAGGATCATCTAGAGTTTAACTGTTCGTTTGATGTATTAATTTGTTGTCAGATTGCTGTTTTTTTAGTTCGGTTGTTTCAAAATATTCTGAATATGTTCGCGAATTTATGATTTTTTTAATTTATGAAGAAGTATGGCATAAATATAAAGTTTTTCTTATTTACCTGGTCGTTAGAAGCAAAATAGTTGCAATGGTCATGGCAGTGGTAAATAGTGGAAATGGGTGGTAATTTAAGTGTAATTTAGTGGTAACTTAATATGCACTGGCTCACTACTAAAATCCCTCTCGATTACATTGGAAAAGTTATAGTTATAAACACTTATATGTAATTTTATAGAAACTCTTACTTAAATAACATAATTGTATTTATTATTTTGAGTTTACATTTTGAAAATTAGTAGGATAAGCTATACTTAAGCATTTTCTAGAAATGTGTAGAAGGTTCAGCAAGCCAAACTTAAGCTGTAGGACAGGTCGGTCTATTAAATGATTAAATAAAAGTAAAATAAATGCTGCCGATTACATTTCAAACGAATTCAACCCAGAGTCTTATTATTTTCTATAAACGTAATTTTACGTGTTAACTGGACTAAATAATATGAAATCGTTTCAACAATGTTTACACATTAGATTAGACGATATTAAACCCGATTGTACGAACATTTTTTCGTGGAAGGAATTTCCAAACAATCCAATATTGCGATTATCGTTTCGACGGTCGAGCTGGGTTGCACAACAGCTTTGGTTGTATAAATATCATGCATGGGTGGGATAAAAACAAACCAAACAAAAAAAGAAAAGGGTTTTTTCCTCGTTCAGTACGTTGAACGCCGATAATGGATGCGAATGTACGTTTAGTTCCCCCAGTTGATAATAGTTACGCAACTGCTAGTGAAATAATTCGGAAATTTATGGATTAGCAGGTAAGTAGAAAACTGTTTCGATTGCGGAATTTTGGTCACCAATTTGTGCGGCGCAGATGTTAAACGACGCCCATCAAAATGGTTAATTTGCGCGTCATTAACGAAACGTCGAGAAAAAAATCGGTTAAGCCGTTTGCCCGGAAATGTAGCACGTGTTTACACACAAGTTCGTTTGATATTTTGTACCCGTTTTCAAGTGACACAGTCAAACTTAAAATTAGTGGTATGACGAAGAAGTTGTGCCCTATTTTTGCTGGTGATTTAAATGTTTATTGTCATGTAATAAACGCCTTCAAAATAATTGGATACTGAAAGTTTCTATTTAGTATTTAGACTTTCATATTTCGAAAACATGCCTTTTACAAAATCAACGCGTGGGACTCAATTCAAGAAATATATCAACCACATTAAATATGACTTCACTTATTAGATATGACAACACCGTTTTTAAAATGTAATTTTTATTAAATGATGAACAAAGTTTGTACTCTATGGTCTACAAATGTCTAACTAGCTGAACTACAATGAACAGCTTCTCCGGCCTCAGCATTCCTAGACTTAGGTGTTACACATGGAGGGTTTCTTCAAGTCTTCTTCAAGTGGAGTAATTGATTTGTTTATAATTACACGATCCCTTAATTCTTGAATATCGTCGAGTTGAGTGAATACTTAGATTTAATGTAGGTATTAAATCGTTATTTTTATTAAAATCGGGACATAGTATTGGCTTAAACGTGCTGTTTATTTGGCTTCGATGTGTCTTTGGCCAATTGTCAACTGACAACCAAATGGAACTTCAAACATAAAGGTTCCAAACAGTTTTAATTCTTCAATTTGATTTAGACAGTTAATATTGAGAAGTACCCCCACCCAAAGGCTTACTGTACATGGGTTATTCACTTTGAATTGATTCAAATCTTGTTTATTACAAAGATAATTTTCTAATTCGACTTGTTGGCAGGTCTGATCTTTGTATACGTAGTGTAAGTTACTTTTTAAGAGAAATTTATTACGCTGTAATGCAGCCTTTAATCGACTCTGTTAATATATTGGTATGGAATACATATCGAAAAGTTCAAAGTTTTCTAATAAAGGCATAAAAATAAATCATTTGACAGCAATTATTTTTTTATACAGAAATGTGCTTTCAAAATCAACTTTAATTAACATATTTTCCACTTCAACATTTTTTTGTAATCGAGCTAATTTACTATAGAGATCTTCAGTAGTAATAATATTTGGATGCTTATTTTTAATATACAAAAAGTTGTAGAATTTTGAATATCTTAAAGTCTTGAAACAATGGCCTCATAGATATTAATAATTTTATTAAGTGTATCCTTTATACCTATACATAACATTATCCCTAAAAGTGGCTTGTGGCACAATAAAGGCAATTTTTTTAATACTTGTCTCTAACAACTCTTCGTTTTTACCAATCTGTCGAACAGTGTTGTTAAACTTATTAATAACACTTAGGGAAATTTAATTTTGGTTCTGTGCTTTACTGATGTGGATGGGGAATTATTTCTAAAATTTTATTTTCAACTGTTCATGCGAGTATTCGCTATGAGTACTTAAAAGTTTAGTAACATTTTCAGATTTTAGACGTGCGTGTATGTATAATCATGCATTTTTGCAGCTCCAACTTTTATCGGTAACAAGCCACGATTGTCGTTCAGTTTCTCAGAATTATCTATTTTCGAGTCGGCCAACATCGAGAATAAAGTAGCCTGGGAGAAGGCTGAAATATAATACGAACTTAACTGTAATGAACCTTAAAATAAATTTAATATCATCCACTGACTGCGCCAGTTAACTTATTCGATACAACACCGTTTTGTGCTCTATGACCTATGCGATTTGTAAGTATCTGCGATACGAGTTTAGATATTCTAATGAAATTTGGCATACCTGTCTGTTTTGGCAGACATTGTGCCAAATCTCATAAATACATTAAGGATCCTCCTAAGAAAAGATTAAAAATAAAAATATAATTTGTAACTGTGTATTTTCAATCATATGTTGTTAGATTTTTCCCTATTGGTTTAATATTTTGTTTTTTAGGTTAATAGTAATGTCTGCTGCGGATTTCTTGTAGAAATGTAATTTATTTTAAACAATAAATAATTAAATTAATTAATTGAAATTAAAATTTAAAAAATTGACTTTTGCTCTTGTTTCGGGATAAATATTTGTAAAGCATATTTTTACGTATAATTAAATGGTATAAGTATAACAATTTCAAAAACCAATATCTTAATAGTATATGTTTGTTTATGCATTGAAAAAAAATGCCCGAATATAGCAGGCGTTTTGAGAATGTTTTCATTTTTTTCTATTTTTAAAAAAGGAACATTCTTGAAAAACATCTTATGCCTCATTCTACTTGAGAATGCGATATTAAAGTAAATATAGTTTAATTTTGTGTCATTTTTCTTAATTACTTTTTTTCTAGTTTGCCGATGACCTTTAAATTTTTTGCACACTCATTAGCAACGTTCTTTTGTATTTATTTTACCAAATTTGAAGTAAAACCATTAATGTCAACGGGCCGTAGCTGTACCTTCATCTCACCTTTATCTCCATTAAAAAGGGAGTTTCCCTTTAAAAGTGGCCCACGCTGTACAACGAAATTGATTGCTCGTGGATAATATCAATCACAACGGATCTAATTTTTGCAGAATTGCTATTTTACGCCCACATTATAAAAATGAAAATCATTGACAGTGGCAGAGCGTCGTGTATGCAGTTCCACTGTATTTATCATTAATTATTGTGAATGATATCGATTTAACGGCCGTATAAGCCGACCTTTGCATATTCAATTTGTGAATGTTTCATTTGAACTTAAACCGCGGTTTTTAAAAAAAGTTAATTGTCGTTGGTTGCATAAAACATTAAAATTCGTTCGACAATATTCGACAAAATAATTTTTCAGTTTAATAAATATTTAAACATTAATTTTGGAAAATTTATTAAGCGCTTGCTGGGGATTTTGTTATTATGTTCGGAAATTTGTGTCTAAATATTGCAATTTCGGAAAACAGAGTGTGTACCAAATTAGCAAAAAGTTTGGAAAATATTCTGTTGAACTTAAACGTATCGGTTTTATTCTGCGATTATATTCTTCTCTTTTGTTGAAGTAAAAAACTTTCTATGAGTTTTGTTTTTTCAACCCATTATAACTTTTATTTTCTTCTATTTAAGCTTTATCAGGTTTTTCAAGTTTATTTATTTCTTGTGTATTACAAGTCAACTTTGTTATTCTAAAAATCAAAAATATTTTGAGAAACACCTTGAAGTTATAGTCGAGTTTGATTTTAAATGATTTATTTCGCTTATTGAAATACCATGTAACTTCATTAAAATCGTGTCTAATATCACAACAAAGAACAAGTTTCCCATTATATTACCTAAATATAATAATAATAAAGGCGGCCGGCTAGATCTCCAGATCTCTGTGTACTTTCGAGAACCACGGACAACATTTTTATAATTTATTCTTAGTTCTCATTGTTAGTTTTTTCATTCTTTTTTTTTCTCGTCAACTTCCCACACTTAATTGACTAATCAACAGGGTTATTAGAAGCCCGCCAAAATGGGCTTCAAAACACAAAACAAAACCATATATCGCCCATAATAAAAAAATAAAATTTATAGGAACAAATTTTGAAATAAAAAAATATATACACATATTTGAACGATGAATGTCCAGTACCTCCAAGGGGTGAAAAATAGTGACAATAGATGAATTATTTGCGTATAAACTGGGAAAAATAATATCAATAATTTATTTTACATACTATATATAATAATATTAATAATTAATAATACAAATAGTAATTTATTATTAAATTATTTTCATAATATTAAGAAATAAACTTCTTAACTACCAGTAAATATTAATAAAAAAAACTATCTATATTAATATATTTCTTTAATTCTTCAACTTTGAAATATATGTAACTAATATCAAAATTCTTTAAATTTTTAATTTTAATCAACGTTTCCATCACAGTGCGGATCTTTGTTAAAAATCTCAGAGATATACATTTATTATATAGATTAAATATTTGAAGTAAATATATTTATATTAATTAATGTTTCAATGAATACTGAAATACATAAATAAAAAAAATATATGAAATAATCGGCATGAATATTTTTTAAGTAATTAGTTAATTAATTGAATTTAGTTAGTTTACTTTTGGTTAGTTTTTTTAATTGTTTACCTATGTTCAATACTAAATTGTAGTTTTCAGAAAGTTGATTTCATTTTTAACTTTGATAAGGTTATTAATTTATGGTATAACCAACTTTATCGATCATTTACAACATTCATTCAACTCATTCAATCTTTAATAATCTTGTGTTGAAATTTTGTTATTTTTCTTTAAAATTATGGTGTGTAAAATTTTCGTTCTTGTATGAAGCAGTTGATGCGTTAGCCTATTTATACGATTTTTTAAAATTAATCTTGTCATTCCAATATATTTTTTTGGCAATCTAAGCAAAGTATTGAATTTATAACATTTATTAATTATATTAATTAATTTGCATTTATTAATTTTTAATAATAATTTAAATTTGAAATTAGACCAACAATAAAACACAATAAACATAATATCCAAGTCAAAATTCTCATATCTATTATTTCATATTTGTACTTATTTATTTATTTCATTATTCATCGAAAATAACACCAAGGTGTGTAAATATGTTTATATAAAATATTTAATCTATGTAATAATTGTATGTATTTTACGTTCTTGCTAAAATTTAAAGAATTTTCATAATATTGAACAAAATTAACCCCAGAAGGACTCAAATTTATTATGTGATAAATAATATAATAAGTATACATCGGGAGACAAAATTAATTTTTTAAAGGCGTTTAAAATTAGTATATTTTAATAGAATAATTTTAATAATTGAACTGATCTGGCTTTTACTTGATAAAAATCCATTTAACACAATTAAATTAGAGCAGAAAATGT